TTTGCTCCTTCAATAAAACAAGTGTTGATAGAGCCACTAAAAAAAAAACATAGCAGTGAGCCACCCTCAAAAAAACAAAAAAAGTGATGAAGGTAATACCTTATAATACAGGTAATAACTTATAATAAGTGACAGCATATCAAATTGTTTGATATATATGTATTCTATTTGACGCATTTTATTCATGTAATAAATAATATGACGTAATATACCTTAAAAAAATTTAATGATTTTCATGTCTGAATGATTTTGACGCAGTACCTGCATATAACGTTTTATACGTAGGTACCGTACCTGCATATAACGATTTATGCGTAGGTACCGTACCTGCATATAAACACAACCTTATTTTTTACACTACATAAAACATTATTATTATTGACATAGTCATTAACTTTATTATTGATTTATTTATGAGAAGTGCTTTTTCGAGTGTTCATTTTTTTCTGTGAGCTTTGTGAAATCTGGCTGATAATTTGAAAGCGCAGTTCGCACAAGTTCACTTAAATGTTCATCAGTTAGTTCAGATCGATATTTAGATTTAATGAATTTTAAAATTGAGTACAATGATTCACACACATAAGTAGTGCCAAAAATTGAAATAAGTTTCATAGCACACATTTTTGTTTGTGGGTATTTTTCTTCTGGGACATTTTTCCAAAATTCTATGGTTGAAACGCCACTTAGTTTAAGTCCTTTTAGTCCTTCGTCTTCTTGCAGTTCTAGTAACACCAACTCTACAGCTGCTGTATCCTTTGTTATTGGTGATGAAATAGGACAGCCATCGCTCACAACATCAACAGCAAAAGGATTTTCCAGGAATGAAAATGAAGGTTTAAGTGATCTTTTTTTTTTTTTTTTTTTTTGTTCTTTATTTGAATTTAAACAATCTATACAAATTGTGTATAATAAGCTTAAGTGTTAACAATTAAGGTTACAGTCAGAAAACATGAAAGGAGAAGCCGCCCACTGGCGACACTCCAGTATTAAGTGATCTTAAATCATAAAATCTGCGATTGATTTCTTCAGCAAGGCCTGATATCTTATTCATATATTTTTCAGTTTCCACCAGAATATTGGGAAAGCTTTCACTAATTTTCTTCAAACATTTTAAGTAAGCAAATGTTTTTGTCTGAAGGTCTTTTGTAAAAAGTTTTAACTTGTTTTGAAAGCTAAATACAATCTGGGCCAAATCAGAAATAAGTGTTTCCTTTCCTTGTAAAGATTTATTTAGAGTTAGTAAATACTGAACCACATCTGTAAAAAAAGCCAAATCTAACCACCACTGGGGTTCATTAAGTTCAGGAAAATATTTTCCTTTTTCTTCCATAAACTGTTTGACTAGATCAAGTAAGCCATCTCACTAAGCAGTACCAATGTTGCGACCCAGATGTTATTTTCAAATGAATCGTACAATATTGTTGATAAATGAAGTATATATTTATTTAAGTTAAGAGAAATCACTTTATGTAATAAAAGGCGTAGGGAAAGTGGCGTCCCCACCGCCCAATGCATTTTAAAAAAATGCATCGCAATAGCCCTACCCTGACCTTCATTGGTTGGGGTAGTCTGGTCCTCCAGGTTGGGGGTTGAGCGTGGGGTTAACAACCCCACCTTTGTAAAAAGTCTTATGTTATGATACCATCAAAAAAATCAGCCTCGGACACAGAAAACTGGATATAAGCTAGGACACGGAAAACGGACTGTGGAGTTAAAGATTGCGACGTGGAATATAACAAGCCTTTTTCGTACTGGTTCTTGCCAGAATCTCGTAGATGTACTAGATACGTACGAAATAAAAATTGCAGCACTACAGGAAATTCGCTGGACGGGTACAGGACAATTGAAAGTTGGGGAGTATGTAATCTTCTTTTCGGGATTGGAAGATAGACACTTTTTTTGGAACTGGTTTTGCTATTCATAAATCTCTAGAACCATATGTTAGAGAATTTAATCCTGTGTCGGAATGGATTTCAGTTTTGAGAGTTGATACAACCCCAATACACATGGTGTTAATATGCGTACATGCAACGACTGAAGTAAGCACCAGCAACGACAAAGACGCCTTCTACGAAGATCTTGACAGAATTTATGACGAAACACCAGGAAATGTAATCAAGATAATTTTAGGTGATCTAAATGCTATGTGTGGGAAAGAGAATCAATTTCATCCAACAATAGGAAAAGAAAGCATGCACAACATTAGCAACGACAATGGTTTGAGAATCATATCATTCGCATCCTCAAAGAATATGGTAATAAGTAGCACAACTTTCCCCCCATAAGAAGATCCACAAGGGAACATGGAGATCGCCGGATGGTAAAACAATTAATCAAATAGATCATGTACTTATCCAAAGAAGGTTCCGGTCATGTATTGTAGATGTAAGAAGCTATAGAGGGGCAGATTGTGATACGGACCACTTTTTGCTGATATCAAAATTTAAGATAAAACTACAAGGTCACAACAGTGTAAGAAAAAGAAGGAACCAGTTTAGTGTAAATTTAGAAGCGTTAAAGAATATAGAGATTCAGAGTAATTATGCAACTAAAATCAGCAATCAGTTTAGAAACCTCCAAGAGCAAGATATCGATTCAGAATGGAACCAGGCCATAAATATTATAAAGGAAGCAGTAGAACAAATTATAGGAAAAAACTGAAAGCAAAAAGAATAAGAAAAAATGGTTCAATGAGGTCTGTCGCAAAGCAATCGAGGCACGGCGCTTAGCCAGAGAAAATTATAATAGGTCAGGGGACCAGATTAGCAAGGAAAAGTATGAAAAAGAAAGAAGAACGTGTAAGCGACTATTACAGAGAGAAAAGAGAAGCTTCGTGAATGAAATATTACAGGACGCAGAAAAAGATAGATCTCAAGGTAGTATAAGAAATTTTTTCAAAACCATTAAAAAAATATAGTACATTCAACCCAACCCTGAAAGCAATAAAGGATAGTGACGGTACAATACTTATGGAGCCGGAAAAGAAAATTATGAGATTGAAAGAATATATTGTTGATCTGTTAAATGGCACAATACCTTCAGACCCGATAGAAAACGCAACATACCAGAAAGCGGAACCTTTTGTGAAAGAAATATCCAAGGAAGAAGTCAAGGAAGCAATAAAGAACCTTAAAAACTGGAAGGCACCAGGTTCCGACAGCATTCCATCGGAACTCATAAAATATGGTGGAGAAGATATGTATAACTTCATTTTCAGGATATGTCATAGGGTATGGTCGGAGGAAGTAATGCCAGAAACCTGGAGCGAAGCAATAATTATACCGCTCCATAAGAAGGGTGATAAAACTGAATGTAGCAACTATAGAGGGATATCTCTTCTAAACTCAGTGTACAAAGTTTTCTCCAAAATCCTACTAAACCGTTTGACACCGTATGCAGAAGAATGTTTAGGAGAGTACCAAAGTGGTTTTCGCAAAGGGAGGTCAACCATAGAGCAGCTATCAGTAATAGCGCGTTTAATTGAGAAGAAATATGAATATCGCCAAAACATATGGCAAATGTTTGTTGACTTTAGGAAAGCGTATGACAGCATCCATAGAAATAGCCTGTACAACATAATGGAAGAATTTGGTTTCCCAAAAAAAATTAATAAATCTAACCAAACTGTCTATGGAAGGAGTGAAGTACCAAGTCAGAGTAGAAAGTACTACGTCAGAAGCGTTTAATGTTGAAATGGGACTAAAACAGGGGGGACGCACTATCCCCATTATTATTCAACATAACCCTACAAAAGGCAGTACGAGTTTTGCAAAACGAAGCAAGAGGAATAAACGTGGATGAATATCATATAAAAGTGCTAGGTTTTGCAGATGATCTTAATATCATAGGAGAAACATTGGATGATACAGTGAGAGCTACTGAAGCATTAGAACACGCAGCAGAATGAATAGGGCTACACATAAACGCAGACAAAACAAAATTAATGGAACTATTAGACATGGAAACATCGCTTGATGTTTTAGAGACGTTACCATATGAAAAAGTCGAACAATTTCAGTATCTAGGTACATTACTTAATACTAAAAAATGATTGGTCCTATGAGATCGGGTCGAGAATAACAAAAGCAGAGAGAGCGTTTTTCGCCTTGCTGAAGTTTTTTAAGTCTAAATTATTTTCAAAACAAACAAAAATAAGACTATATACATCAATCATAAGACAGATACTAACATATGGTTGTGAAGTATAGACTACTACAAGTATTACAGACGACTAAAGACTTTTGAAAACAAAATATGGCGAAAGATATGTGGCCCGGTTAAAGACCCAAGGACAGGTCAGTGGCATAGGAAGTTCAACCAAGAATTGAAAGAGGAATTAAAAATAGTATCAATAAATGGTTTCATAAAGAGACAAAGGATACAATGGCTAGGACATGTCATGAGGCGGAATTCTGATGCAGTAACCAAAATGGTACTGAATTGGAAACCAGAAGGAAAAAGGCCACGGGGTCGTCCTCGGAGAGATAGTTGGATGTTGTAGAAAAGGATTTGGAAGATCTTAGAGTGCAGGATTGGAGGGAGATTGTGCAAGATCGTGATAAGTGGAGTGATTTGGTGATGGCGGCGGAAACTCTTGGAGAGTTATAAAAGCCAGAAGAAGAAGAAGAAGAAGAAATCACAATAACATAAATAAAGTATATAAAATGTATGGAGTGAAGATTCCTTGTGCACACCTACATGCGTCAGAGGGCTCAGAGCGATAAACTCGTAAGTCTTAATGGTCAGGCAATGTACATACGGACAGAGTCCGTGGAATCTCCAATGGTGATGTGTGGGTGACTTGAGCTGTGGAATCTAACTGCCGTCTCGGCTCTCGCCCTTTGGTATTTATGTTTTATGTTGGTCCTGTGACTGCTAGGTCACTGCTGTTTGGTGTGAAATCGTTCCGGACGTCACGTACATCCTGTGGCCATCGGATTTCTACATTTGATAATTAGCCATTTGTACGCGCCCTGGACTGCATCATCTTGGATTATTATTTGGGAATGAAATTTAACAGAGTAGGTCATTGTGTTAGCAGTTGTATTTACATTTTAAAAACGTACTTAATTTCTAAGGACATTTCCTTATACAAACGTGACAATTTCTCTTAACAATTATTATGTGAAGGTGGACACGTACACAATATTTACGTGCCTTATAACACCAAGATACATCATTAGGTAACTCATAGCTGTTCATATCTTCTATAAAAGATTTGAACTGTCGGTGTGTTTTGGCACTTGAGCGAATACAGTTTACAATTTTTAGAACTATCTGCATAATATGCGGATATTGAAAATATTTTGCTGCTAAATGTTATCTGTGAATAATATAATGTACAGGTAGGAAATCAGGATACGATGTGTCAGCTTTTAATAGTCCAATAAGCCTTTGTTTTGTACCAGTCATAGAAGGTGCACCATCAGTAGCAATGCTGACAATTTACCGATGGGCGTTTTCCTGTAAAACCCCATCCAGGGCTTCTTTAATGTCATAACCCCGAGTAGTATTCTTCAAAGTAACCAGGTTTAAGAGTTCTTCCACCTCCTCTAAGTCTTTTGACACATACTTCACAAATATGACAAGTTGTGTCATATCTTTAATATCAGTAGACTCGTCCAGTGCTAGGCTTACTGCTAAACACTTGCTTAAATTTGTTTGTAAATTATTTAAAATATCGGCACTAATAGCAGAAATTCGCCTCTCTATTGTGTGCCTAGCAACAGGCATTTCGTTTATTAATTTCTGCAGTTTTTTTATTTTCCGGTTCTAAAACCGAAATAACTTGAGCCATGTTTTTTTTTAATAAACTCCCCCTCTGTGTAAGAATTTTTTGCTTTTGCAATATTAAAAGCCAATATAAACCCAGCTTCAGTTGTTAAATCTGCTTCCTTGGTAAACATTGACATAACTCTACTCTGACCATGAAGTTTTTCTTTGAGTAATTTCAGTTTGGTTTTCCTTAACTAAGAGCCAACAGGAAATACTTTATTAAAACCACTGTGGTTACTGTCATGATAGCGTTTTAGATTACTGGCCTTCAACTGTGACAAAGACACATAAAAGACACATTGGCTTACCGTTTCTTTTTACAAAAAGGAATTCTTCCTCCCAGTCTGTATTAAAAGCTCGATTCTTCTCTTCATATTTACGCTTCTTAGATAACATTGTAACTGTTCGGACACTAGGCTACAACTGTATTCAAACAGCACACAACAACTACACACAGAAAAATATTTAAAACATTAACGCGGCAACTGTTCGGACACTAGGCTACAACTGTATTCAAACAGCACACAGAAAAATATTAAAAACATTAACGCGGCAACGCGATAACGGAAATTGTCGCCGGAAATTATTATCGTCGTCGTGTGACGCGGTCGTAATAACGACTGTAATGATAACGAAATCGACGACAATAAAAATGCTATCTAGCGTTTCCAACGATATTAACAAATTTTATATTATTTAAGTTTAGTCTAAATTTAGTTCAAGAGCCGCACGAAACTGATTTAAGAACCGCATGTTGCTCGCGAGCCTCGTTGTGGCTACCCCTGGTATATTATATACAAGTATATGATATTAAATAATAATAATTCGGTTTTTTTTTTTTTCATCCCCTTTAGACTCGAGTAGTAGTATTATGGGGCTTCCAACCATGGTTTTTTCAGTTTTTTTTTTCGAGGTAGTTTTGCTGCGGTAAATTTACGAGATTTGGCTTCTTTTTTAACAACGATTTTGGCTTCTTTCATTTAATTTTACTACGGTAAAATTTACGAGATTTGGCTTCTTTTTTAACAACGATTTTGGCTTCTT